ACCCCGCCCCCGCACGATCAGCACCTGGCTATTAAATAAATAATTTGTAATAGCAAACTATAAATAACTAAGCAAAAAAAAAACATAAAATTAAAATTAAAATTAAAATAAAAAAAAAAAAAAACAAAAACGGCATATCTTTGCGGTATTAAAAACAATTGCTCATATAATATACTAAATAACAGACTATTTCTTGGGGGGTGGTCGCAGCGCCAGATTGGCCTCCAGATCCTTGACCAGCTTGCCGTTCACGCCAATTGTGCCGCCGAGGCCAGAGGAGCCGGCATTGCTGCGCAACAGTTTCTTGCCGGGCACACCGCCAGCGCCTCCAGGATGTGGGGCACCGCCTCGCTTGCCGCGCTTGCCAGCCGAGCTGCTGCCCGAGCTGGCTGAGCCGGCGCCGCGGACCAGCTGCGTCTTGTATGTGTGCTGATAGCCATAGCCCTCCGGGTTGTTGTTGAACTTGGGACTGTAGCTGTCGTACTCCAGGCTGGTCGAGCTGCTGCTGCTGCCGCTGGCCTTGTAGCCGCCGCTGCTGGCGGGCTTGCCATGGGCTAGGCGCATCGATTGCTCCCAGCTCTCTCTCTCGCGCTCCTCCTCGTACTTGGAGGACAGCGGCTCCTTCTTCAGCACGTACTGGTAGGGCAGCGGATAGCCTTCCTCGCTGCCATCACTGCCAATGCCGCTGGGCGGCTCTCGGCTCTTCTCGCCCAGCTCCAGACTGCTGGCGCCCGGCTCCGCAAAGTAGCCCGAGTAGCCCTTGTAGTCCCCATGCAGATCGGCCGCTGCCTTCAGCTTGTGCCGATACTCTTGAGCCTGAATGGCGTGGAGGCTGCTGGCGCTGCTGCCGCTGCCGCTGCTGCTGCTGCCGCGCAGCTTCTCTCCCTTGTAGGGCAACGAGTTGATGTCGTGGTAGATCTCCGAGTTGAAGTACAGCTTGTGTGGCTTGCTCGTGACCCGCTGCTCCTCCTGCTCACGCTCTGGCGTTGTGACCACATGCGACAGATCAAACTCCTCGATGTTCTTGAGCGCCGCGCCATGATCAAAGTGCTCCGCGCTGCTCTTCAGCGGCAGGGTATAGGGCTTCGATACGGTCTTCACGGTGGCCGTCTGCAGTGGCGCCCGCGTCTTGATCTTATAGATGAACTCCACGTTGGGAGCCAGCGAGTCGGCGGCAATCTCTGGCGCCTGGTAGGCCGTTTCCGTCTCGGACTGGTAGCGCTGCGCCTTGGTCAGTCCATGTGAGCTTTGCTTGACCAGCTGATGGTGTTGGCCATGGTATAGACCATGCTGCTGCTGCTGCTGCTGCATGGACTGCGACGGCTGACGACCCTGGCTCGTTGATGGCGGGCTGCTGTACTTGGGCCGCACGGTGCTGCTGCTGTAGCGCTTCTCCTCGTTGCCAATCGAGCTGCCCGAGGAGCTGGAGCCACTGGAGCTGGGCAGCGACAGCAGCTTGTAGTAGGTCTTTGTGGCCGGTGGTGCTAGCTCCTGCGGTGTGGTTATGATCTTGCCCTCGGCCTCCAGCTCCTTCATGTACTTGATGACGGACTTTTCAATTTGCTTCATGATCTCAGCCTTGGGGATTTCAGTGGATGCCGAGAGTCGCACCTTCTCCTCCGCCTCGTCCTCCAGCGTGCGATACACCTGCTGTGGCTGCTGCGGCTGCGGTGCTGGATAGCTGTAGTACTTTGTGCGATAGAGTCGCTCGATATCGCCGCCAGAGGGCGCAGCCTGGCTGGCTGTCTCGTATAGCTCATAGTTGCGTGGCACCGACTCCTTCTCATAGACGGGCGCTGGAGCGGCTGGAGAGGATTCACTGGATGCGGATTCGACAGAGTGTGGATGTGACTGCAGCTGTTGCTGCAGCTGTTGTTGTTGCTGTTGTTGTTGCTGCTGCTGTTGCTGTTGCGGTTGCTGCTGCTGTTGCTGTTGTTGCTGCTGTTCGGCTAGGAGCAGCGCCTGCTGCTGCACAAGCTGCGCCTGCAGCTCCGCCTGCATCTGCGCCTCCAGCAGCGCCGCCTGCGCTTGAGCTTGTGCCTGAGCCTTGGCCTGATTCTGCTCCAGTTTCTGCTGATGCTGTTGGTGCAGCTGTTGCTGCTGCTGCTGTTGCTGCTGCTGTTGCTGCTGCTGTTGCTGCTGCTGGTCGAAGCTGGAGCTGAAACTGGAACTGGAGCTGGGAATATAGGGACGTTGTGTATTGGCCGCAGTGCGCTGTGCCGTCTGCTGCTCCTTGAACCTTGAGCCGTAGGCCCTCTTCATGGCATTGGCCACGTACTCGGCTGCCGTCTCCGAGTCCTCCAGCATGGCCGTCTTCTCGTGCTTCGCATCAGCAGCGGCAGCTGCAGCCGACTCGGCGGTTGTGCTCAGACCGCTGCTGGAGTAGTAAGCATTGAGCTTGCTCTGCGGTGGCAATGAAGACGTCTCATGCTCGGGTCGTATCAGATTCAGCTCGAGTTGGCCATAGTTGTAGTCTGAGTGAGAGAAAGAGAGCGAGCGAGAGGGTTGGCAGGTGAGGCATTAGAGATGAGCAATTGGTCTTAGTTTACTGCCATTTGGAGTAGTATAGTTTCTTGGTAGGTACAGTGAGCATACGCAATGACGGACTAAGTTTTATTGATTTTCAATTGAGCAGGAATAGAAAATCTTAGCTATGGATGTCCCATTCACCTGTGTTTGATTCCTTGGTCCTGGTATGCATTGGAGCTCCTCGCCTTGGATAGTTGCGTCCATGTCCATCGGCACGAGCTGCGGCCTGAGCCAGCTGATCGGGCACAGCGCTGCGCTCACTGGACTCCTCCACATTTGTCTTTGCTATGGGTCGACGGCTCATGCGAGGCTGCGACTGCGCCTCACATGCGCTCAACTGCAAGAAAGAGAGAGAGAGAGGGAGAGAGAGAGAGAGAGAGAGACAGTTAGCAGAGGAAAGCAAAGAAAAAGAAAGGGGAAGAGTGAAAGAGAAGGAGAGGGGGAGAGTCCGGCCGCAATTAAATGGTAATTGTTTCGGTGCTTGATGTCGTTCAGCGTCAATTGGCGGCATATGAATGCAAAGTGCACATTCAGTTGGCTACTCGCTTTGGCTAATGGATAGTTGGACGCACACACTAATACATAAGCATACATACATATACATATATACATTTATATGTATTTTTTTTTGTAATTAAACTAATTAAAGTTAACCAATTCGCTTTCACATTGGGAACGGATCATGACGCTGCCGCGCCTCTCCCGCTGGCTCTGCCCGCTGTGCGCCGCCTCCACGCGCTCTTGCGCTGTGTCCGCTGCAAGTTCATTGGCCCAAGCAGCCAGTTTGGCGCCCGCGCTCTTTTACGCCCCAACATGAAATGTTTTCGGCACGCAATTTCGTTGTGATTGAGGTTGTTTTCCAAATTGCTGACTGCCTGGTGCCTGGTGGCGATTACTGGCGTCTCCCATTGGGTGTTTAACGCTAAATCCCGATTTAGTTAGCTCAGTCTAACTCATAATTAAACTATATGTTCGCAGTGCCAAACGAGAGGCAGTAAAGTACAGTATAAAATTAATTAAATTGTGCATGCATATTTTGAAGGCTAAACTTATTAGATACAAATTATATTAAAAATTAACATTGCATATTGATTCAAAAAA